TACGCATGCCGGTACGGTATTGACTACTTTGCTTGAGCGTTGCCGGATCTAGGCTATGGGAGTAGTGATAGGGAGATGGGTTTTCATGTTTTGGTTTTGGGATTTACGAATCCTTCTCAACCCAAAGCCTTTTACAATGCGATCAATGTTTTCATGAATCTAACACTCAGACCTCAAAGACTCTAGCTTACTCTCATGGAGGCCATGATGAGTGGGACAAGGCTTGGCAAATGGGTAGGTTGGGTCGGATTCGAGTTAGGTCAACTCAGCTGACGGGTTAGACAGGTTGGATTGTATATAGGTTGCAGGGCAAAAAAATTCAACCCTAACTTGACCTTAGCAGGTTATGGGGTTAATCCATAGGTTTATCTTATTTTCATTCTTTACAATTATTTTTTTATTTTATTATATACAATTAAAATTATAGATATATAAATTTAATTAAAACTTAAAGTTCTAAAGTATTGTAATTAATTAACACTAAGCACTTTATAGTCTTCATCACAAACATTTAAATTAAAAAAAAAAATCATAAAGTTATATATAACAATTAATTGATTAACAATACTAAACTTAAAATATTTAAATTTCTTGGAAAATAAAATTTTAATTTTGCAATCATCATCTTGAAACATTATCAAGGAGTTTGAGCTTCTCTTTACAATGAAATTACTCTTTTAAGAACTTCACTGAATCATTATGTTCATATCCTACATCACATCTTCAATATTTTTAATTGCATTATCATTTAATTCATAATACTTGGTAATTAGATCAAACTCACATAATTTCTAGAGAATAAAGAAATAATAATGAGGAAACACTCTAAATAAGTTTAAAACCATATGAGTAATGGAAAGGAGGTTGAAGAGTATGACTCAATGAAGAGATTTACCAATAGAAAAATTAATTAAGAATAATAAGTATAATATTTTTTAAATAATAATAATCATAATAAAATAAAGAAAATTGGTTTACCTGTCAACCCACAAGTTGATCTAAACCCGATCCGTAACCCATATGGGTTGATATTGTGGGTTATTTATAGGTCGTGGGTTAAGATACATAAACTCTAATCCGTTTTTACGAGTTGACTTAGGGTTAAGTTAATAGGTGGTTTTTTGCCACCTCTAAGTGAGAACCTTGTTATGGCATCAAGAGTTTTCAACATAAAAGGAACTAGTGTCGTTGATGATGCATTGGCGATTTTCACAATTTCAGTGGAATCTAGACAAGTGAGGAATAAGCGAACCTATAGGAGAAAATTATATTTTATTAGATAGATCAGAGGCCGGCAACAGCTCAGGTATTACTAGGACGGATTTGTCAAATCTCACATTTTGTCCATAATTTCCATCAAATTCTTAGTTCAATTCGTTCGACGTTCTTGCCGCCGGACCTCCATAGCTCCAATGAAACAACATTCCCGTATCCTGCTATCAACCATCATATCATTGCTCTGCCTCGTCGGTGCATCATGGGGTGCAACGGAGGCCGAGATTCTCATCAAGTTCAAGAACTCCATGTCCAGTGTCGCTTCCCTTAACGGTTGGGATGAATCTGTCAGTCCTTTCAATGGCAACAGTTCAAACTTGACCGGATTGTGTTGCACCCAACCAACTTTCGGCAGAAGAATATCACCTTGGTTAATCTTGCAAACAACCAACTTCAAGGTCGAATTAATGCGGACACCCTAAGTAAGGAAGACGCTTCCGCATTTGCAGGTAATTAGCACTTTAATTGCTAGATAGCAACTTGTTATTAAACATAGACTTCCAACATAATCAAATTTAAATTATTTAATTGAACTCAATCAAATTCACAATCATATTTGTTATGAAAATTAATGTTAATTATGCTAAACTTGAACTAAAAAGGAAGAACAATAGAATTGGAAATAGAGTAAGAATTAAAAGTTCTATTAGTTGTTGGAGAATGGTAGATAACTATTTTTTTAATTAAATTAATAAGAATATTTAAATTATAAATAACAATAATTATAAATCATTGAATCCATTAATAGAAAAGTATCTAACTTGTGGATTAAATTTAAAATTTAAAATTTAAGTTTTAAATTAATATGTAAAAAAAATTAAGTTTTCTTCTTAAACAATAAAAGTGAGATTCGAATCTCATACTTTCAGATTACATAAGAAATCCTTAATAAGGAATTGGTGCCTACTAGTACATTCTCAAAAAAATTGAAATTTTTAAATACATTATCTTGATACGGAGGATATCCTTAATTACGGTTATAGAAATTCATTCTTAAAATTATCAAAAAAAAAAAAAATTTACCAAAGCTCATCCCAATGAGCTGTTCTTAATAGTAAATTCAAATTTGAGTTCTAAATGAAGCACGATTGAGAGCATGTTGGCTTATTTTATGAATATAAAATTTGGCAAAAACCTACTTTTAACAATTTATCTTAATAAATTTATAAGTTTTAACCGTACTTTTAAACCCTTACATTTATGAATTGAAAAAAATAACTCATTACATTTACGAATTGAAAAAAATAACCCATATTTAATATCAATTTATAACATTCGTTAACTAACTATTAATATTTCGTTAACTCTGTTCTTATCACTGTTAACAGTCTGTCATTTGACTATTAATGAAATGTTAACAGTCAATTAACAAACATTATAATCTCATGTTAAGTAATAGTTATTTTTTTTAATTTGTATAGATGAAGGGTTAAAAGTGTCATAAGATAAATTGAGAAGTTAAAAGTATCATAATATAAATTAAGAAGTTAAAACTTATAAATTTATTAAGGTAAAGAGTTAAAAATAAGTATTTGCATGTAAAATTTAATCTTTATTTACGGCAAGCAAAGATTTATGCGAAAAGCCTCTGAGCCCATGTAAGTACACGAAGAAACGGACGTCCATAATCATCGCCGTCGTTGTGCCTGTGCTGGTTTTGGCTGCCGTAGACGCCGTTTCATATGTCCCCTATCCCTATCGGCACAAAAAGAAGTTCTAAACTCAAATTGGGCCAAGAGTCCAAATCCCTTACACTATTATTTTCGGCCCAAAAGTAAGCCCAATACTAATCCGATATTTACAGCAAACCCGGAAGCGCAAAGCTTCACTTCGGTCGGAATGGTAGGGAGAGTTTCGAGTTGCCGGACCTCCTCCGTGCCTCGGCTGAGGTGCTCGGCAGTGGCGGATTTGGGTCGTCGTACAAGACCTTGCTTCTGGGTGGGCACGCCATTGTTGTCAAGAGGTTGCAGAGAATGAATATTGTCGGAAAGGAAGAGTTCCGGGAGCATATGAGGAGGCTCGGGCAGCTGTCGCATCCGAATTTACTTCTCCTCGTCCCGTTCAAACATAAGAAGGAAGAGAAGCTTTTGGTGTCTGATTATGCTCAGAACGGAAGCTTGGCGAGTCACCGTCACGGTCGGCGAACTCCGGAAAAACCGGGCCTTGACTGGCCGACTCGATTGAGGATTATTAAAGGTGTCGCAAGGGGGCTTGCTTACCTCTACCAAGAGCTTCCCAAAACCCTAGCCCTACCCCACGGTCATCTGAAATCCTCGAACGTAGTTCTCGACGGTGAATTTGAACCCCTCCTAACGGATTACGCTTTGGTCCCCGTTGTCAACAGAGATCACGCCCAACAGTTCATGGTGGCATTCAAGTCCCCTGAATTCACCCAATACGATCGGACCACCAGGAAGACTGATGTGTGGAGCCTTGGAATCCTGATCCTCGAGCTCCTCACAGGGAAGTTTCCGGCGAACTATCTGATACAAGGAAAGGCTGTTCCGGCGAACTATCTGATACAAGGAAGGGTGTTAACGCAGATTTGTCGACATGGGTAAACTCGGTTGTGAGGGAAGAGTGGAAAGGGGAAGTGTTTGACAAGGATATGAGGGGAGGAAAGAGAGGCGAAGGTGAGATGCTGAAGTTATTGAAGATTGGGATGTGTTGCTGTGAATGGAATATGAAGAAGAGGTGGGAACTGCAAATGGCGGTGGAGAAAATTGAAGAGTTGAAGGAGAGTGAAGTACTGATAGCATTGAAGATTACTCAGTATGTGACCGAAGCCGCGTTTTACTCATCCATGGCAATAACAGAAGATGAATTTTCCTTCTCAGTAAATGGTTGAGCTGATCCAGCCTGAGCCTGCACTCAAGAAACTTGAACAGAAGCAATGGAGATTGATGGGTTGAGGTGGAAAAAGCTCATTCCTTTAATTTTTTTTTTCTTACAGTCTTTATTTTCCGAGGATTCTGCTGTTTTCTTATTCATATGTGTTCCATGTCCAAAACAATTTCATTTCTAACTTATTCAAATAAATGAGAAAGAAATCAAATATCACATGTATTCTGAGTTTGAGATAGAATTGATTTGCTTTCATGAAGTGCTAATTCTACTGATCGTCCATTTAAGTTATTTACGGTTACCTTTGACTTCCTCAATCGTTATCCCTAAGAACTTTTCATACGTTTTTATGGTATTATTAATATTAAATTGTTATCTTCTGCTGACTGGTGACAGGTAGGCAGGTTAGCCAGCAAATGGGAGGTGATTTAACTAAGAGAATCCAATTCCTAGAAAATGGCATATGCCACAACATGCATGAGTCTTGATGCGTGACGTTATGATCCAAGTCCTTATCTAACTTCCAATTTGTATCTTCCTGGAATTTGTCCATCATCTCCAACTCTAAGGTACCGCTGCCTTTTGTTTTTATCTTCTGCTTTCTGCTGTAAATGTTTGCTGTTTCTTCATAGTCAAGGTGATCTTAAATCATAAAAAGCTGGTGGGTTAATCTGGATTCAGATTCTGATGATTTGGTATCAGATTCATCTCAACAGGCAAGTGCTACTATAATGTTTTAGAAGTCAAATTATTCTTCTTCTCCTACACTTGATGGATCATCCTCATCCTTCCTTGTGTTTCTTTCTGTTTTACTTTTCAAAGGGCATTTTCTCATGGATTTAGACCATGTATAATTTAATTTGAACAAATCCGAACAAATCCAAGTTATATATTGATGATCTTGTCCGAGTCCCTGAAGTCGTCTTCAGGTGGTTTAAATGCATTCTTATCCGTTCCTTTTAAAGCACATGGAAAAAGGTTATCTCGATTCTCTAGAAACAGAATATTATTAGCCTCCAGGTTGATAACGAAAACTGGCCCACCACTTGTAAATTCCCTTGAAGAATATGAAGCAGTCTCATCTCCTAAACCTTTATAGCAGGGTCCAAGAATACATTTGTAAACCATTTTGTGATTTTGTCTTGATATCAGTCTCACAAGGCTAAGAAATCAGCTTTTGCTTCTAGTTCTAGTTCTGGTTCTAATGGCTGGGCCTGATACTCTCCTCCAGGGTATGGACACAACCAAATTCGTCCTGATCTTAGCATCTCAAGGGGTTGACTTCCTTCTAGCTCCTGAAGGAAAGGTACCTTTTCCTCTATTAACACAAATTTTCATGATCAAAATTATGAAACTTTCAGAATTGATTATTGTTTGGTTCCAAAGAAAATGGATGGAAAGAGAAATTTATGCTGTAACTCAAAAGAAGTTTTCTTCAATGCTAACTATAAAATTTTTGTAAAATTTTAGGTGCCACTGACAAGGTTAGATGGGAGGAGAGTCTGCTTATTTTTCTCTGCAAACTGGTGCAGGCCCTGCAGAACTTTTGTTCCCCAACTGGTGCAGCTCTATGAATCACTGAGAACAAAGGGCAAAGAGCTAGAGATTGTGTTTGTTTCCTTTGATCAAGATGAAAATAGATTCAACCAACACTTCCATTGTATGCCATGGCTTGCTGTTCCATTCAATGAAACCTTGCTTAAAAATTTGAGGGACAGTTATCAAGTTGATCGCATCCCCTCACTCATTCCATTAAGTTCAGATGGAATACCTGTCGAAGAAGACTTGATTGGGTTAATAGAAGACTATGGTGCTGAAGCATATCCCTTCACTTGGAAGAGGAGAGAAGAACTGAAGGCAGCAGATGATGCTAAGCGTAGAGGAGTAAAACTAGAAGAACTTTTGTCTCATGAAGACCGGGATTATGTTGTTTCTAGGGATAGTGGAAAGGTTATTGATTTAGTCGTAAGATTTAGTTTAGTGTATTTTGTTGTTTATGGCTCATTAGGGGAACTTACCGTGTTCTGTCTGGTGCAGGTACCAATATCCCAACTTGTTGGTAAGACAATAGGACTCTACTTTGGCGCACACTGGTGCCCTCCTTGCCGCACCTTCACTTTACAGCTTGTGGAAGCTTACAACGAGCTCATTTCCAACGGAGCACAATCTTTTGAAGTGATTTTAGTTTCCACAGACAGAGACCAAAAAGAATTTGATCTGAATTTAAGCAGCATGCCATGGCTAGCAATCCCATTTGAGGACAGAACGCGGCAGGACCTCTGCAGGATCTTCAACATCAAAGCCATTCCAGAGTTAGCCCTGATTGGACCGGATGGAAAAACAATTACCACAAAGGGAAAGAACATGATCTCCCTCTACGGTGCAAAGTCTTTCCCCTTCACTGAATCAAGAATTGCAGAGATAGAAACGAGCCTGAAAAAGGAAGGAGACGCATTGCCCCAACAGGTTAAGGATACAAAACACGAACACACGCTTAAATTGGACATGGCAAAAGCATACTTGTGTGATAGTTGCAAGAAACAAGGAAGGTTTTGGGCTTTCTCATGTGACCTGTGTGACTACGATCTTCATCCCTCATGCCTTGAACTCAAAGAAACATGAGTCCACTGTATCTATATCTTACTGCTGAATTCTAAATATAGCAATCACATTATTTAGATTTTCAATACTAGACACAAATGGAGAAGATGATACTGTATTATCCGTGATACAAGGGCGGACTTAGCCTAAATAAGAATGTTTGTGTGGTGATTAATTTATGTAATTATGTTCATTGAAAAGTTCAAATCAGCTCGTAACAAACTAATTGATGATGTTTCCGTTGCCTTGTCTCTCTTGGCCTCATGAGAGACACCAAAATTAATTAATTGTGCACTGTATTGATTAGTAAAAACAAGGTATGTGGGGGGTGTCGGCGAGGAATAACAGCGTGAGAGATCAAGGAGGCAGCGGCCTCTTGGTGGCGGTGGCTATAGACAAAGATAAAAACAGCCAAAACGCCCTGAAATGGGCAGGTGATCATCTCCTACACAAAGGCCAAACCGTTGTTCTCATACATGTCAAAGTCAAGTCCTCCTCCTTCTCCATCTCCTCTCCTCACAGTATGTTTCTACTTCCATTTTCCGGACGGTGAAACCTCTGCTCTTTCCGTTGATATGAACTCATCTTCTGGTGCAGGGATGGACCAGTTTCTGGATTTGAATGACCTTCCATTGATATGCAAGGATCCCGATCCTCAAACCAAGGAGCTCTTCCTTCCTTTCCGTTGCTTTTGTACTCGAAAAGATGTAAGCATTGCAGATCCAATTGACATAAACCTGGTTTCGATTTCTTCTCCAGCAATATATTTAACAACTGAACTCCTCAGATTCAATGCAAAGATGTTGTTCTAGAAGAATCAGACGTCTCGAAAGCATTGATTGAATACGTGACTTATGCGGCTATTGAGGTTTTGGTCGTCGGCGCCTCCGCCAAAACAGGATTTCTCAGGTAATGTCACTGCTCTGTTCAATTTTGATGAATGAATGAATGGATCTCTCTGAAATTTTTAATTAAATCGAGAAATGTTTCGTCTCAAAAAGATTCAAAGCAACGGACATTCCAGGCACCGTGTCGAAAGGTGCACCGGATTTTTGTAGCGTATATGTCGTATCCAAAGGAAAGATTTCATCCTTGCGATCGGCGTCCCGGCCGGCTCCGGTTATCTCTCCATTGCGGAATCATCTTCTTAATCAATCTAGTAAACCGACTATTCCGGTACCGGTACCGGTACCGGTACTGGAGCCATATATGGCCCCAGTCCCGGCCATCAGCAACAGAGGTATGCTAATTTCTTGGTTTCTTAAGCTCGAACTTTATAATTAGGTCTCCAGTCACCTCTACCATTGAGTTTAATTTGTGCAGTTGAAAGGCCGGTAATGGAGCAGGCGCGGAGATCGACTGAGTCCGTAGATTCTTTCCGGTCACCTTTCACGAGAAGAGGCCCCAACGGAAAATCCTATCCGGAACTTGCAACGCCGGATACAGACATATCCTTTGTCAGTTCCGGTAGACCTAGCATTGATCGCATATTTCCTTCATTCTATGACAGCGAAGCAAGCAGCAGAACAAGCAACAAAACGCCTCCTCGGTTGTCTAATTTCTCGGACATTGACAATAATTACAGTTTTGAGTCTCCACCTACATTTTCTTCTGTTTCCCAGGAGAGCGACAGGCTTTCATCCTCATCTGCCAACATGGTAATTAAACAATCTTTTTTGTGCATCAAATGTTAGCTACCAACTTTTTATCAAAAGAAAAATTGTTACTTGACATTGAATTGTAGAGATTTATATCCTTGCCTTGATATCTCGAATCACGGCTTTTTAATTAGTGGATAATAACTCGGCTATAATTTGGTGAAATTTTTGTTGACAATTACAGGATGATGTTGAAGCTGAAATGAGGAGGCTGAAGTTGGAGCTCAAGCAAACCATGGAGTTGTACAGTACAGCCTGCAAAGAAGCACTGACAGCTAAACAAAAGGTATATACAAAGGTGAAGATGAATGTGCTTTATACTCTTCATTATACCTTGCTCTGAATTTTGGGTTCCGAAACAATTATGTGTGTTGCAGGCTAAAGAACTACAGCGTTGGAAATTGGAGGAAGAGAAGAAACTGGAAGAGGCGCGATTGGCTGAGGAAGCTGCATTGGTTATTGTGGAAAAGGAGAAAGCAAAGTCTAGAGCAGCCATGGAGGCAGCTGAAGCAGCTAAGAGAATTGCAGAACTAGAAGCACAGAAGAGAATTAATGCAGAAATGAAAGCACTCAAAGAATCGGAAGAGAAGAGAAAGGCACTTGGCAGACTTGCTCAAGGAGATCTCAGGTACAGGAGGTACACAATAGAGGAGATTGAAGTTGCCACGGATTTCTTTTCAGATGCCCGCAAGATTGGGGAAGGCGGGTATGGCCCTGTATACAAGAGTTATCTTGATCACACCCCTGTTGCAATCAAGGTTTTACGTCCAGATGCAGCTCAAGGAAGGTCGCAATTTCAACAAGAGGTATGTTACAGAAGTTTAGTGTTTCGATTTTGCAGATATTTGAAGCTTAATTTTAATCTCTTGTTGGTTCTTTGTGTATGTTTGTATATTTCTGTGTTGATTCAGATGGATGGATTTTTCAGGTTGAGGTACTTAGCTGCATAAGACATCCCAACATGGTTCTTCTCCTGGGAGCCTGTCCAGAGTTTGGATGCTTAGTCTATGAATTCATGTCCAACGGGAGCTTAGAAGACCGGTTGTTCAGGCGTGGGAACACTCCGCCTCTCTCTTGGCAGCTCAGGTTTAAAATTGCTGCTGAAATAGGTACAGGCTTACTCTTCCTCCACCAGACCAAACCAGAACCCATAGTTCACCGTGACTTGAAACCCGGTAACATCCTGCTTGACCGCAACTTCGTGAGCAAGATTAGTGATGTTGGGTTGGCAAGACTTGTCCCTCCGACTGTGGCTGAAAATGTGACGCAGTATCGCATGACATCCACGGCAGGAACTTTCTGTTACATAGATCCAGAGTACCAACAGACAGGCATGCTTGGTGTCAAGTCTGATATATACTCTCTGGGGATCATGCTTCTGCAGATCATCACGGCTAAATCACCAATGGGATTGACTCACCATGTGGAGCACTCCATCGAGAAGGAAACCTTTACTCAGATGCTGGACCCCGCAGTTACAGATTGGCCAGTGGAAGAGGCGTTGGCGTTTGCAAAAGTTGCTCTCCAATGCGCAGAGTTGAGGCGGAAAGACAGACCTGACCTGGGCAAAGTTGTATTGCCACAACTGAACAGATTGAGAGCACTTGCAGACGAAACCATGGACTCGAGCCTTTTTGTATGTGGGAGTCAAGGGGCGTCCTTTATGAGCAGCCAAGTTTCACAACAATCAGTAAGTTGATATTCATTGGAAATACAAAATCGTGACTATACCATCACAAAAATGATTTGCTTGGGGTTCTGTTTTGCAGGAGCAACTGAGTGGCCCTCAAGTCTGATGATGGGTCATGAAGCCAGTCCTCGCCACGATCATCCTATCAATTAATTGAGGAAGGAATATATTAATTTGTCAAACTAGGTTCTGTAGATAACTTAAAATGTGTACTCAAGCTTATATCTTGATCCAACATGTATAGGGAATGGATCAAGATTTTAAGATGTAAAATGAGATTACAAGTAGGGGTTTCCCATTTGTCATTCTTATATGTATTGTCTTCATTACTAACAGAGAATTAAGATCAGATATGTACCAACCAAGAAGTTGAACAGGAAAAAATAGAAGTTACTAATTAAAATCTTTAGTTCTAATTTGAAATTAAACAATGTTGGGGAAGAAGGTTCTCCCATTGAAAACTTTTCACTAGTTTGTGCAGAGAAGTACATTCCAATCTAGCATGTCCCTCTTTTCCATTGCACACTCCTTGGTCCACATGACCCCGGTATCAAAATTTTAAGGTGCCAGTCTGTTCCCTTTGAATACTGTTGTAAAAATTAACTAGTTATCATACATCTCATCCATTCTCTGAATGCAGTAACACTACACTGGTAAAAGTTACCTAGTACGATAAATTAATCACGCTGCATGCTCCTATGCACTCATTTTGGGAAAGTTGAAGACAAAAAATTTAGAAAAAGTGGCAGAGAAGCAAGTTAAGGAATTACTCTCCAGTTCCATGCTAGTAAGGATCATCTCTGATTGAGGAACTTTCATCTTGTAGCAGCTCTAGTACTCATGGATGAATGGTAGGAGGTGCTTCTCTGTTTTCTATAAGAGGTATAAACATCATCATATTGACTTACCTCATTTGGATTAGCTGTTGCCCCAAGTCCCAATCTTCCAGACCCACTAGCCCCTGGTTTCCGCTCTACACTTCCATCAGCATAAGTACCTGTCTCTGGATCTAACTGCAGATTAGGAGGTGGAGGGATGCAAGCCCCTCCTTTGCGAACAGGGATGCAAGCCCCTCCTGTCTCATACTTGTCATCATCTTCATCTCTTGAGTCAGATTCCAATGGTCCCTCAGAAGGGTTTACCTCTCCAATCTCTTTAAAGAACTTTGAAACTCTCTCAAGAATTTCTGATGGTGAAACACTGGATGGAGGTATAATTGTTGGAATGTCCAATGGACTTAACGGAGAGTAAGGCACCCCACTGCCAATCTGCATCTTTCTGACCATTCCAGGGATAAGACCAGGTGGGAACAGAGGATATGGGGGCAAATTTTCACCAATATTTGCAGTTGGTGGAGGCAATAAATGGGATGCAGTTTGTTGGCTTGCCGGCTGAATAGAAGAATTGATGAGCATAGACACTGGAAAAGCACCAGCAGGGGCTAAGTTTGGAACAAATTGCTGAGGGGCTCCTTGTTTGTTATGGTGCTCTAGATCAGGGGCATTTGGAGCTGTACTTTGCTTATCAGGCTGCCATTGTGAGATATTATGGTTTGTTGTTTGTCCTGTGTAAAAATTTGGAAGACAAAGGAAAAGGAATGTGAAATTAGAAAAACATATGCAATCAAACTTATCAAGAGTTCATTCTTTGCCTTAAATTATGGGGGAAGGGAAGAAATACCAGCAAGCATCAAGGAATCAGCTGAAGATAAAGAGAGTTCTTTTGGAGGCCTAGGAAAACAAGTTGGTACACCACCCAGCATCTCACCCTCAAGTGCATAAATAGTATCTTGATCATAAACTTCATTGGATGCCCAGAACTGCAAGATTTTTTGTATCCGTGACTGGTTTTCCTCCTTGTTTTCAGGGTTGTGGTAAATCCTTGCCAGCATTGAACCTAAAACAGGTTTAAATGCAAGGGCTTCATTATCAAGTTCATGAGGATTGCTCCTCCGTTGCAGACTGAAAACAATGAAGAAAAATGTCAAGAGCTGTAGCAAAAACAAAACCACTACCATCAACAAGAAAGCAATCAAGGAAGAACCTAATGGCTTCCCATAACTGACAATACAGTAACAGGCTAACAAAAAAACTTATGTAAACCTTTTCAAAGGCTGTATTAAAGACCTTCTGATTCGCTTCATAAGCCATGGCTAAAAGAGACAAGCTAAAATTGAAATCAGCCCTATGAAGTTGATAATCCAAGCTAGTCCACCTTTTGCACATGGCTTAATAAGGTGACATGAAGGGAAATTAATCAGCATTTTGTTCCTTACAATTGACTGAGGAGAGAAAGAAAAGGAAAAAGTTGTGGTGCATGTTACCGGTAAACAAGCAACAGCAAAGCCAATATAAAATATACTTTAATGGTAAATAAGAACCACAGAAGAATTACCTATCAAACAAAATGTCATTGGCAAGGTAAATTATGTGCAGTTGCCTCTCAGAATCATCCAAAGCAACAATCCTGTCTCTAAGTGCCTCAGCCAGAGCTGGGGCAAACAGAGATCTCTGCATGAACCAAATCTTGGCACTTTTGATTGACTCTTTAGTACCACTAAGGTTGTTAAGCACGTTATTAAGCTCAATTGAAACATCGGAAGACAGCGAACCAGCAAGACCTTTGAAAGACTGGTCATAATCTGGTCCACCATGACTACCAAAAGCCTGAGGGTGCTGATGGTGGTGCTGTTGATCAAAGAATGGTGGAAATGGAGGTTGGTGCATTTGAGGACCACTCATTGCCCCAATAGCAGTGGCATTGAATGGAGGGCCACTTAGCGAAGGATTCATAACAGAATTTGGAGGGTGCATCATAGGTACAGAAGAGGAAGGAAAAGGGTGGTTATAGGGGGCGCCTGGTGGGTGTATAGATAACCAGTGCTTGTATCTGTAATAACCATGGCCCTCACCACCAAAGAGGAAACTGTAATCAGGATTATCTTTCTGCTTCTCACGGATCATTGCTTCAAATTCTGGGCCATTCTTAATACAATACTCAACGAGTTTTTCAATACGCTTTTGGAGCTCAGGGTCAGATGGGGGAGCCACCGGTGGTGGAGGGGAATCATATACACCATGGAAAGGTGAGGGAACTAGGTGAGGGGGCAAGTTTGAGGGGAAGGCAGGTGGTGGCTGTTGATGATGAAGTTGCGCATGTGGAGGAGGGTGATGGTGAAGCGGAGGTTGCTGTTGCATGTGTGGATGGTAAGGGAATTGGGATGGATGTGGAGGTAAGAAAGAAGGAGCATGTACTGATGGAGGGAACTGTTGATGTTGCGCATGAAATCCAAACTGTTGCTGCTGAGGCATGTTGGCTGCTTGTCGCTGTTGTTGGGCATATGCCATTGCAGAAGCAGCTGCATAATTGGGAGGTGGTCTATCCATGAGACTTTAGGATCTATTCACAGACAACAGACCTATAAAAGCTCCCGGAAAAACCTACATGAAATAAAAAAAAAAAAAAATTCCATTCATCAACAGCGGCATTATTGCAAAGCAGTCATCTCAACAAAGGCTATGATATAAGCATAACCACAGTCCACAGCTATATCTTCTCATCTTGTTCAAGTGGGTTGAACACAACAAACACTCTAATTCTCAAAAATTAGATGACAGTCACTCAACCAATTTGCTTCCTTACAATGACAAGCAAATTACCCATAAAGCCTAAAAGGAAGCTCAAACTTACCTAGAAAAGATGCTGCATATCAAAGAACGGAAGTTTTCATCTAGATGGTACTTGAAACCCTAATTGAATCCAACCCAATTCCCCAAAAGAAATCTTAATCAGGAAAAAGGGAAAGAACAGCACAAAATCTCTTTGTAAAACAGAGAAGATATAGCTTCAGGAAGGCCAAAATTGTAAATCTTGCTAGCTGAAAAAGAACAAACAAAACAGAACCTTCGGTTCAATATGAAATCTTCAAGCAGAAACGCAAGAGGAAGCAAATAAAAATCGATTCTTTGATCCTACCTCCTCCCCCAAAATTTTCCCTTTGATTCAGTGGTTAGAAATTGCAGTACTTTACAAATCCTTGATTTTGACGGCAGAGCAGGCACCTCTTTCATTCTCCTCTGCAACTGCAGTTGGCTCATGGCCGCTTAACATGATCCAGTTTCTGCCCGAACCCGGCCCGGACCGACCCTTCCCCCGGTATTTTTAACATTTTTCCTTAAAATTAAAACCCAAAAACCCTGAGAGCTAAGGTTGAGGAGCCACCGCCATTTTCCCCTCCACAGGTACACGAGACAATGCTTCAAACGCGAGGCTCCTTATTCAAGTCTGCTTCGCCTCTGCGTCTTTACTCCTTTGTGGCGAAGGTTTTCTTTCTTTTCCTTTATTTTCTTCTCAATTTCGTTCGGATTGTCTTCAGTTTCGGATATAAAGGACAGAACTTGTATGAATAATTAAAAAATTTTAATTTCCCATGTTATTTGTAAATTGGAAGGCTGATATTTTTTTTTTTTTTTTGGGAATTTTTTAAGATTTTACTGAATTAGAATATTTGATTCTCACCTTGTACTGTCTTGCCTGCATTGGTAACACAGTTGCAGTGCAGGGCACTTCAGTATTACTCAGGACCATCTGTGCAGTTGGGCATTGTAGATATTTACAGAAAATGGTCTCAAGTTAAGTTTAGAAAAGTTGGAGCAGTTTCCTTCGTCGTGGGTTACACAAAAGTTGGACCAAGTTTGCAGCTTTTCAGAACACTGCACGGAGGGTGGTGTAGGTATGCAACTGCTACTAAATCCAATTTAATTCCTGGGTTGTGGGGTTGTGAAGTGACAGGAAATGTTTTTAGTTGTGAGTCTTTCAAGGGATTTGGATTGAGTTCCTCTTATGTGTCCCTCTTTAAGCGTTGCTTTTCTGAAGTCTCGACGGTAGAAACTAAGAAGGCTAATGCAGGTATTGGAGATGGAATTGGTGGGGCATGGTTTTGGAAGAAGAAGAAGAAGAAGAAGAAGGTAAAGGGAATTGTGGCTCATTGTAGTAATAGAGATGCTAATCCTACTGCATTGGCCTCCAAAGATGTTTCCAATGCAACATCTAACAAGCAGACTGTCAAAGAAGGGAAGAAGGGTGCAGAAAGTGAATCAACTGATTTAACTTCACTGGTTAGCAAAGGTAACCAAGACTTGAAGGTTAATCAAAATCAGAAAAAGCTGTCAAAAATTAAGAAAAAGAAGGAAAAGGTTTCTACTGTCAGTTCTCCAGAAGAAGCAGATGTAGTTGAAGGTCCTAAAAGTATTTCTCTGAGTAAAATATTTAATATCAGCAGAACTGCCCAGAAAAATCCATCTGGAAAAACACCTACAGAAGTGCTAGATACTTCTACTTCAACAATGTCTTGGTCCAATAAGATAAATGGGCGATCAAATGGAAAGGTAAGACCAACCAAAACAGCCATTGAGTCATCTCAGGAACACAAACCAAAAGATATTGGAAAACATAAACCTATGAGGCAAAAGCCCTTCAAGCCGTTATATCCCCCCACTGGTAAGTCTGTTGTGGTGGTTGAGTCCATTGCAAAGGCAAGGGTTATTCAGGGCTACCTTGGTGATATGTTTGACGTTTTGCCTAGCTATGGTCATGTCAGGGACTTGGCTGCAAGATCAGGATCTGTGCGGCCTGATGATGACTTTAGCATGGTTTGGGAGGTCCCAAGTGCTGCATGGACTCATCTTAAGACCATTAAGGTTGCACTAAATGGGTATGTTTTCTTAAGCTTTTTCTGTCACTTCCAAAGAATTTGCTGAGATTAACTTTTCTGGTTAGCCTTTCTTTTCCCATTTCTTTTTGGTCATTTTCCCAATCCTATTTCCATTTTAAGCTATGAAATATTGATGTTAATCCTCTGAGTACCATAAATATCTATTGCATTTTAGTTTCATTTTTTTTTTTTTTTGTTAATACCTTTCTGTGTTTCTCATTGTATTTGGCCTTTCATGTCAGAGCCCAAAATCTGATTCTTGCATCAGACCCTGATCGGGAAGGTGAGGCAATTGCCTGGCACATCATTGAGATGTTACGGCAACAGGATGCTTTAGATGAAGATATTACCGTGGCGAGGGTGTTCTTTCATGAAATAACAGAAGCATCCATTAAAAGTGCTTTGCAAGCACCACGGGAAATTGATGCAAACTTGGTTCATTCTTACCTTGCTAGACGTGCTCTTGATTATCTGATTGGATTTAACATCTCACCATTATTATGGAGGAAACTGCCTGGTTGCCAGTCAGCTGGACGGGTGCAATCTGCTGCCTTGTCTCTTATATGTGACAGAGAGTTGGAAGTTGATGAATTTAAACCGCGGGAATATTGGACTATAGAGGCTGTGTTAAAGACAAAACAACCTCATTCTCTGGGGGAAGATTTTTCTTTCCCTGCACACTTGACACATATTGATTCAAAGAAGTTAAGTCAATTCTCAATTAGCTCAGATGCAGAGGCAAAAGACATTAAAGAGAAGATTAATTCAGCAAATTTTCAAGTGGTTGCCTCTAAAAGAAACACCATGCAAAGAAATCCTCCCACACCATATATAACATCAACACTTCAGCAGGATGCTGCAAACAAATTTAACTTTTCTGCAGCATACACAATGAAGGTTTCCTAGATCTTGCTACTTTTAATGCTCAGTTTTGGTTTAGTGCAAAATGCTTATATTTTTGGTTTGTTTCCCCTCTTCTTTATTGTGTTTTCCAATTTCTATCAGATTTATTGTTTTATGGCAGGAAAAGATCAAGTTTATTTTCCTTTGTTGCAGCTCATACCATAACATGTTTATTTCTTATTTGTTTCTGAATAGTTTTTACTATTATTCTCTAACTTGTCTCAACATATTAATGCAGCTTGCACAAAAACTTTATGAAGGGGTTCAATTGTCAAATGACAAGGCAATGGGTTTAATAACATACATCAGAACCGATGGACTGCATGTAAGTACATCTTCGTGACTTTGTCTGCATTTTTCCCTTTGTTGCTTCATTTCATGTTTCTGGTTTTTCTCTCAGATTTCTGAACAAGCTGTTAAGGACATACGTTGCTTGGTCATGGAAAGGTGAGAGGCGGAATTTAAGCTCCAATTTTTTTTTTTTTTTTAAACCTTTAAAGCTGGTGTCTGCTTCACTTACACTGCCAAACTGCATCACAAATGTTTAGTCTGTGTGCATCTGCTCAAATTGCGCTAGACAATTGTATTGTTTAATTGCAATCAATATGTCATTCCTTTGATAATTATTTCTTCGTTGTTTGTAACTAGAACTTATATTCTGCAGATATGGGTCAGAATTTACTCCAGAAAATGCACGGAAGTATTTCAAGAAGGTAAAGAATACTCAAGAATCCCATGAAGCAATCAGACCCACAGACATTCGAAGGTTACCATGTAAGCAAATAGCTTTTTGCAGATGCATGGATTCTTATAATATTTGTTCTTAGTATAAACATTTAAAGAAGATATGAACCTTTTTACAGTGAAGTTTGACTGTGATTAATGGCAGAATTTCTCTTGATTGTCTGTCAGCAATGCTTGGTGAAATACTTGATGAAGACTGCTTGAAGTTGTATTCGCTTATCTGGTCAAGGACAATGGCATGCCAAATGGAACCTGCAAGCATAGAGCAGGTCAAAATGCAAATGTGTATTGTTTTTATTAAGCTCCGTTAATTTATTCAACTTACAGCTTAAACAAGAATAAGCTACATACCATCCTTTGGTGGAAATTTTAGTTTATTCTAATGATTAGTTGTCATATTTGTCCGTGGAGCAACATTTGTACAGTTTTTTTTTTTTTTTTTCTCTTTTATACTTATAGTATCTTATTTTATCATTTGTGTTTCACCTTTTCCTTTAACTATCTTTTGTATAATGTCTGACATTCTTTTGGTGTTACCAGATACAACTAGATTTTGGGAATGATGACAGATCCATTGTTTTCCGATCATCATGCCCAAGATTAGGGTTTCTTGGATACCAGGCAGTTTATCAGGTATAATCTACACTCCATTCTCTGGACTCTAATTACTAATTATAACCCATGTGTAAATGATCTGGTCAGTTCTTTATTTACTTCAAATTTGGTTCAATGTTTACATGCAAGATTATTTGCTTTATGTGTTGGGGGTTATAGTTTGGTTAGTTCTCTGCATTTTTATATTTTATTCTAATCTTGTAGGATGTTGAAGCTGAAGCAATCAGAGTTAAAGATAATGCAGGGAATGATAATTCTGAAACTTTTGGAATTCTTAATTACCTGAAGGTGCTGGTTCTGTCTGTTATTAACATGAAATGTTTTGTATTTTGACTACTTTGATGAATCTTTTCATGTTTCTTTTATTTATTCATGATCATGAGCCTGACAACAAGCTTGCCTGTAATTCTTTTAGTAACTTTTAAACCTGATTCAAACAATTTGTGGCAGTTGGTGTTTCTGGGATACCCAACTTGTTATGGGAATTTTGAAAATGTTGGTTTCTTACTGATGTTTTTGCTTATGGTGTGCATTCACTTGCTTACTTGTTTTGTAGCAAGGGGATCAAGTTTATTTTGGTGAATTAGAACTCAAGCAGCATCATACTGAACCTCCACCACACTACTCTGAGGGATCCTTGGTACACTATTGTCATTATTTTTCTTGTTAAAAGTATTTGCAAATGTTTTTCAGTTTGTTTTCCTATTAATTGGCTGCCATAAAGTAGGATCCACCCTGCTATAGGAAGGGTAAAACATTTCCAGAAAATAAGATTCTAGAGGAAATGCTTGTATGTTTGAGTTCATATATTGTGAGTTAAGGTTTTGAGTTAAATCTAAATATAACGTAATTCCTGGGATATAGTAATGTAATTTTGCTTCTGGATGGTATTTAATGCATGAAAAGTTTAATATTATAGTAGTTCTGTTGCAATGTAATGTTCAAAAAGGTTCCACATTGCAGCATTCACCTTTAACGGTAAAGCTGGATGCCTGATCAATCTATTTATTATCATCAATTCAATGATACATTTTTCTGCCTGAATCTTAGGGAAAAGATTTTCTTGAATGATTATCTTGTAAATGTTAATGCCCATTATGGATATGGTGGTCCTGCCCCCTGGAATACAGTTTTAACTCTATATCATCATTATGACATGTCTGACGGCATTAAAATATCATTTGCTTCTTGAGATTTTTTTTATAGGAATATCTCATTTTTTTTAGGAGGAAGGCAAGTAAAAGTTTGTATTTCAATCAAAACCTCATAATGGAATATCTCATATTATTCAGAATTTAACTGTTAATTTGTTGGCTAATAAATGTTTGCATGATAAACGTAGTAAATAACTAAAATGTTTTATCCTTTTACTTCATGCATCTTGGGTGTTAGGGAGACTGTTGATTATCTATGTTTTATGCTCTTTGTTCATACTTGGTTCTCTAGCCTCTATGATGTTGGATTTCACAGGTCAAGAAACTGGAGGAGCTTGGGATTGGAAGACCTTCAACATATGCAACTACATTGAAAGTTTTGCAGGTAAACCGTTGTGTCTATGATAAAATTTTTTGAGGGTTTTTCTAACTTGTGCCCTTAGGGCACAGGTTAAGAGCACCTCTTTGTAATAAATGCATGTAGAAAAATGTAAAAACCGACATTAATTTTAGTGTGGGTGCTAAGTGGATGAATTTAATTGGATGGCTGATAAATTAAAGGTCAACTTTGTTTTTCCAATGCAAATTTATGACGAAAAGGTGTATTTATTACACCCTTAAAGGCACAGGTTAGAAAAACCCATTTTAAAATGATATTGATTTTTTTATGGATTTGTGTGTCATGGAGAGGGTAATGATTTAATTTTAAAATTTCCAATTTTCTGAAAGTGAATATTTCTAGAGGTATTGGTCAACAAGTTCTTAAATTCTATTATACATGATTATTTTCTCCTTTTTGAGAACTGTTGGTCCATGCTAGTCAATTTCCGAGCATAACAGGTCTATGTTAAGGATCTTCTCAAAGTCTTATTCGGTTCCAATGCTAGACATGGATGACGTTTGCCAAGGCTTATTCACATTGGCATTCATTGCTCACACTAATATTAATAAAGTTCATTACAGAAATTTTCTACATTTGGGTTAATGCTTTGTTGTTGACTCCATGTACGAGGCTCTTTAACTAGTTTGTTAAGTAATGGAGAACTGGAGAATTAACTCTGTTGGATCCTTTTTTTTTTTTTTTCCTTCCTTTTTGGCCTGTGCTTGTGGCATTATTTATGTTCTACTTCAGTATAAACTTGGAGGATTTATAAAATCTTCATTTCTTTGTGGCATCAGGATAGAAATTATGTTACAGTGAAAAATCAGGTTCTGCATCCAGATTTCCGTGGTCGCATGGTACGTCTCGTCTATCTGTCTCTTGAAGCATAATCACTTATCTACAGAACAGTGTGGTATTAGTTTTAGTCCTATTTCTGATTCTTGTTGATGCTATTTTGCTTCAGTCCACACCATTTGAGCTCCTGAAATCAATGTTCCTAAAAGATGGCTATTCTAATACCCATATTTTGGGGTAATATTTAGGTTTCAGCATTTCTCTCCCATCATTTCTCAGAGGTCACTGACTATAGTTTTACTGCTGATTTGGAGACTGAGGTTAGTTAATAATCTTGCTGGTTGTTTCTTGTAGTCTTTTCAGTTCATTAAATCTAGAATTAAAACTGCTTACTTGCCTTAGCTCTGTGATCCTTTTTTATAGTAGTCTTATTTGGATACGATAATTGTATCCATGATCATCAATTATTGATTTGCAAGACGTTCACCTTGTATGTGGTCTCATCATTGATGTTTGCAATGTTTCTCTGTTTCAAAATATCTCTCTTGCTTTCAGCTTGATAATATTTCTGCTGGATTAACTGAATGGAAAGGTCTGCTTAAAGATTATTGGACTCGATTCAGGTCATATTGTAATCGTGCTGAGAGCGTCCATATTCATCAGGTATTTTTCAGTTCTTTTGTGATCACTGTAGATATGATGTCAGTATGTATGTTCATTATTGTTATTCATACTAGTAATATGTCTGCAGGTGGAGAAAATGTTAGAGAAAACATTAGGAGATTTCCTTTTTGCTTCTCTCCCTGATAAAAGCAGGACATGTCCAAGGTTGGATTTCCAGTTTTGTGTTCCTTCAATGGAATTTAAGTACAAAGTTCTGAAACATTAAAAAAAAAAAAAAAGTTCTTCTCATTTCTATTGCAGGATCTTTATTGAATCAATTATGGAGAAGGAAAATCTGATGATTCTTAAAAATTCAGTCTACAACCTTTAAAATCTATTATTAAGTTCGCTAATTTCCATGCTGATTTCCTTGGATAGAAAATGCTTCAGGAATGGATGTCAAATGCCTTCATGCTAGAGCTTCTCATATTTTTTGTGGACTTATCCCTATTTTAGTGTAAATGCAAAGAAACTCGCTTGATTGTGATCTCAGATTACAATCAGGAGTTTGCCTACAGCCTTTCTAAATGTTAAATAATCCTTTTGATTTTAGCTTATTTTTCTCTAATTTAGTTGATGTAAGCTAGCATGATGATGTGGGTACATAATCCAACATTTAGTTTGGTGAAACTTTAAGCCAGAAAAAGTTATTTGATTTGAATAAAAAGAAGGGTCTCTTGATGAATAATTAATTACTTGACAGCAAATGTCAGTTCAAATTTTTTTTTCCAATTCAAGACATTTCACGTTACCCTATCATCCTAAGTTGAAATTTGTGATTTATTTATTTATTTATATTCAGCACCTCTTATACAATCCCATGTTTTGGTTTATGAGCAGTGCTATGGGCACTTGCTTTTTGCACTCTCCAGCCAACACTTCCCCTTTCATTGGGCCACCTAAGCTTCTTTAAACCTTTCAGGCGCAACCTCTTGGAAACCAAAATAACATCGCCCAATAAAAGAGAAAGTGTTGGCCAGAGAGTGCAGGAGGCGAGTGCCCCTAGCATTGCTCTTGGTTTATATATTTGTTTTTTTTTTCTTTTTTCTTTTTTCTTTTTTTCTTTTTTTTTTCTTTTTGGCCAATTGCTATATATATTTGTTACTTTGACATTTTCTAGTCATTCAGTTAGCACTCATGATGACTTTTCCTGAACATTTTTCAGTTGTATGGAAGGCACTTTGATTTTCAAAGTAAGTAGGTTTGGTGCAGGCTATTTCATAGGATGCAATCAACACCCAAGGTGCAAGTAAGTGATTGACATGGGCTTGGTTTTCAAATTTTTGGCCTGTGACATAGGATGCAATCAACACACCCAGAGTTAGATTCATGCTCTAATTGATGAAGAACTAGCTGGGTTCATAGACTTTGTGACTTATTCATGCCCAAGGCAGTCAAATCTAACAAAACCTAAAGGATCTGCACAAATAAACAAATTGAGACAAACAGTTGTTATGATCACTGCATTTTTTCTGTTTGATTTTTTGCCTAGGCCATATACATAATCATTTTATTTCCTTCTTGAATTATCATCTTTTGGTCTTTGTGCTGAGTTATATGGACGTGGGTAGGTATATTGCTAAGACATTGTATGGTGATGATGAAGACACAGAAACCCCTCGAAAGAGTAACAATATAGAGGAGCCAAAATTGCTAGGTCTCCACCCAAGTTCCAATGAAAAGGTCCTCTTTAAGTCTTGGTCTTTGTATTTGTTGAGAAAGATGGATCTCATGAATTGTTTAGACTTTCCTATTGAATTTTTTTCATTTATAAATTGATACTGAATTCCTATTCTTCCAGGTCTTCTTAAAGAATGGTCCTTATGGACACTATGTGCAGCTTGGTGAAGACAGGATAGGATATTTGCCAAAAAGATCCTCTGCCTCCCATGTGCGTTATGCTGTCCTTGCTTTTCATAAAATTCCTTTTAATATATTTGCCTGTTTTCTTGATAACTGTTCTGATCTATGTTTCTTGAATTTTGTTGACCTTTTTGCTGCTGTCAAACTGCATTGTAACTGGTATTTTTTTTCTTTTTTTTGCCGACTCATTGTTTGAAAATTTGTGTTTATGGGCTGTCATGTGTAGCCAGAGCTTGTACCTTCTATTTGCTTTGTCAATAATCTTCAATGCCATGCTTTCAACTGGAACTCATCAACCACATGGAAAATTTTATAAAATATTTCTTGACTATTTTTTTTTCTTGTCCAGATAAAAGATGTTAATTCAATCACGCTTGAAGATGCTCTTGATTTGCTTCGTTACCCTGTGACATTGGTATGTTAGTCTCTAAACTGAGTTCTGTCATGTTTGTACTGCTAATTGTCCTTCAAGTAATTCATGTCAACTTGTGGGCAGGGAAACCATCCAAAAGATGGGCAGCCAGTGGTCCTGAAGCTTGCAAGGGTTGGATTTTCTATTCGCCATCGACGTAACATTGCTTCTGTTCCCAAGGTACATTTTCACCTAGCTGAAGTCATCAATTGTAGGTTCTAGTCTAGTCATCCACTGGTCCTATGGTCTTTTAGTCTTTAAAGGTATCATAGCTTAATTATGATGCGGTTCTTGGGGATAAAGATGGAGTTGAAAAAATGACAAATAAATCCTATAAATCATTCATACAAGTCAAAATATGAGATGCAAACCAAGGGAAAGAAAATGAAAGAACTAACAAACAACCGTTATGTCCTACTGTCTAGGCACACTAACAGTAGTGAGTGGCCTAGCCATATGTGTTCTTCCTTAACATCAGCTAACTGCTAAGTCTCATTATGTTAGTAGTAGATACCGTTCGTCAGTAGTTATCCACCAACCAATTAAAACTACTGGTTGGCATGCAGAATATGAAACCAAATGATATCACTCTAGAGAAAGCATTGAAGCTTTTGTCAGGTAAAGATGTCAGACGATCTGGCCGGCCTAAGGGCAAACCTAAGGAAGAAGCTTTAGAGGTGTAATAGCCCTGGCAACCATGAGAACAGCAAGCTTTTTCAACTCTGGAGATTCTTTACATAGCAGATGAGGTGTGAATACTTATCATAACAATAATTTTGTGGTAAGTTTGTGTAACTTCTATGAATTTAAGTTTCTATCCCATTTCTAATTTATATTTTCAGAATTGAACAGGGATGGCAATGGAGTATTTGACCCTACCTGTTACAAGTTTGGGACGAGTTCTTAGAATTGGAGAATCGACTCTACTTCAAAATGAGCTTGATATTTGAGTGTATATAGGGATGTTATCATGGAAGTAAATTCCAAACCCATCTATGATGTTCTAGTTAATTTTTTTTTTTTTTTTTGAACGTATTTTGCAAGGGCAGGTTTTGAACCCTGCCGGGGGAGGGGGAATGCACCGTGGCTATGCCACTAAGCCTCAAGGGCCAGTTAATAGTGCATAGGATATTAGTAAATTGCATATTTATATTCTGGACTGGCTTAGATATCTACATATTTTTATGGTACCTCAGTACCTATCTTTTGGGGGATGATTGTAAATATGATGAGGCTAGTAAATAACATACCTTTTTCTCTTTGATAGGGAATTTGAGAAGTGAAATTACCTTTTCATTATATTCACCCTCCAACGAATGAAACCATGACCAACAAAATGGGAAGCAAATGACAAACCCCCCCTCACCCCCCCTTCTGCCAAGCTAATTAGACTACCATCCTTTAGGTTGTAAATAAAAATATTAGATATCATAAATCTACATACAATAGAAGAAGATATATGTCCCATGGATAAAATACATATGAATATAGATATCAAATTCATAAATTTGATCTAGAACATCTTTTTAAAATGTTACTACCTGTTCAATTTTAGTTATTACACTTTTTTTAATGTAATTTCAGGCATTATTTTTATACAACATAAGACTTGCAATTGAAAGGTTTTTTACTTTATATGTAATTCTTGTTTAATAATTTTATTTGATAAAATATTCAATTGCAAGTTATATGCTATATAAAAATAACACCAAAAAGTTACATCCGAAAATGTGACAACTAAAATTGGATAGAAGTGGTATAAATTTAAAGTTTTTTCTTTTTTAACACAAAAATGAGATTTATTAAGAGTAATTTAATAACTTCAATTTCACTTTGTTTTTTTGAACAGTTCAAACTAAAAAATACATTTTTATTTTTTTAATCATAAAAAATAAAATAAAATAAAGGTGAAAACAAGTTATTAAGAACTATGATTGTTATGTTACTCCTCTATTCAATTTTAATAGTATTAAGTTGGTTTTTTTTTCACTTTTTAAACATAAATTTTATAAAAAAAAGTTTAATAACTTATATGAATAATAATTAAATTTCCTTTTTCCTATATATAGGTCTTGTTATGTATTTTTAAGTAGTATCATTTATATAATATGTTTAATTTTTATGTGAAATTCATGTATAAAAAGTTAAAAAATCAAACTAACCCTACTATAACTAAATGGAGGTAGTACTTTTTAAACTTGATTAGTAAAGAAAAAAGTTTATATCCTTAATAAGTAAAAGTACTAAAGTTTATACCCTTGTCGGTAAATTTTCTCGTCTTACTTCAATTAAACAAAACCCAGATAGAAAACCTTGGAAATTGGAAAACCCGAACCCGATTCAATACAGTGAGAGAGATCGAAAGCATAACGATCGGTGTGCTTCGTTCAGGTCTGCTTTCTTCTCTCCTCTCTTCTTTCCCGCACTTTCTCGGCAACCAAACACTTTTTGATCGCGACATCCTTCCTGATTTGTTATTATCAAAGACCTTGCTTTGATCTTTTTATATTGGTGACGCAGGAATAGGATGCAACAGAGGTTGAAGCAACAGCAAGCCTTGATGCAACAAGCCCTTCTCCAACAGCATCCCATCTACCATCCAGGCCTCGTCGCCGCTGCCATGTCTCAGGTTTCCATCATCAATCTCGCTTTTCCTTATTCATTATCTCTGTAAAGATTCCAACTTTCTTTTGATTCCCTGTTTTTGTAGTGGTCCCATATAATGCGCATTCTGTCGCAGCTGATCTTGTGTAATTTCAATTGTAATTTGTTTTCCCTTTGATAAACTGGCTATTTATAATGAATTAGGAGGATTATTGTATTTTTATTTCAATTATAGATGTTATTATCAATAGGAATTTTATAAGTTTGGTTATCCTGGTTGTAAGGGTAGTGTCAGGCTTTAATCTCCATTCTAAAGTCTCCCATGAAATATTCAGAACTTTCTTCTTTTTTCTTTTTTCTTTTTTCTTTTTTTTTCTCTTTTTCATTTTTTTCCCCCTTTTGGCAGATGGAGCCTATGCCCAGTGGAAACTTGCCGCCAGGATTTGATTCATCCACTTGCCGCAGTGTGTGAGTTCAATTGACCCTTTTTTGTCCTTTTCAGGGGTGTTCAATGGCATTGTAATGCTATTAAATTTGTTTGCATCTCTATCTAATTGTTAAACTGATTCTTTGCAACTTTAGTTATGTAGGAAACATTCATGTTAATGTCACCGAGACTCTTCTTGCTGAAGTTTTCCAGAGTGTTGGCCCTCTTGCAGGTTGCAAGCTGATAAAAAAGGAGAAGGTTTGGTTTACCATTCATCTCCATATATCTATATGTAATAAATGTTTTTTCTTGAAACAACTCTTGTTAGAATTTAGCTATAAATAATGAAACTGCTTTAGAAATTGGCTGTTAACATTATGTACCTAATTTTATAGATTGTTTATAGCAAAAAACCAAGTAGCTTCCATTTTTCCCCTTAAACTAGAAAAGCAACATAACCTTATCACAAAGTTGAGAGATCAAATTAGTGCATTCATTACATATGTTCCTCCTGGTTGATTCATTGTCTCTTTTTGGACATCTTCATTAATGTCTTATTGTTTTATTACCTCTGCAGTCATCATATGGTTTTGTTGACTACCTTGATCGAGCTTCTGCAGCACTTGCAATAATGTCACTCCATGGGCGACAACTGTAGGCACTCATGTCTATGCAGTTATTGATTGATTGCAACATTTTAGTGTGTTATTTGTTGATTGCCCTTTTCATGTGAAGAACATCACTGAACTGCAAAGTTAGCCCTTTTGGTGTTTAGCAACTATAGTTTTCATTTGTCAAATAAGCAATGGGTTTATTTTGTTTTGGTTAGTTTGCTATCTTCTTTCTTTCCACCCTTGTTGATAATTAGCTTTTCATCTGCAGTTTTGGTCAGGCACTCAAAGTAAACTGGGCATATGCCAACAGCCAGAGGGAGGATACATCAGGTTGGTTTTAGTTTCCATTTTTCTTCTGCTACCGTACGGCTAGTGTGTCTCTGGATTTATGGTCCTAATTCTACATTTTAACAGGGCACTTCAATATATTTGTTGGTGATTTAAGTCCTGAGGTTACAGATGCAACTCTTTACGCATGCTTCTCAGTGTATCCTGCTTGTTCGTAAGTTCCTAATTGCTTTATGTGTTCCTCCTTTTCATTTTGCTGTTCTTAAATTCTCCAACCTTGTGTATGTGTGTGTGTGTGTGTGTGTGTTTTTGTTTTTTTGGCATTGTTGTAATCACCTCTTTCTTTTTCCCTTGTTTCTTGAATATGTATATATTTTCTGTATGATAAAATTTGCCTCTAATAAGCCATTCTCAGTGATGCAAGGGTCATGTGGGATCATAAAACTGGACGTTCAAAAGGATATGGGTTTGTTTCCTTCCGGAATCAGCAGGTATAATGCTTTTTTACTGTTTAAGTGACTGCACATTGGAAGTAACATTTTTTTATATACTGAAGGGATAGAATATGCTACACTTGTGAATGCAAGTTCCACTGACATTGCCTATATGAAATTGCATTTGAATTGGGACATAGAATAGGTTACATAGGGTGGTTAAGCTTGGGACATAAAGCTTTCTGATGAATAAAACAGTTTTGGAAATTTCCTCTAGAATAGTTGTAATTAGTATACTAATTTGATCAAATTATATTGTTTGCAGGAGGCACAGGGTGCTATCAATGACTTGACTGGTCAGGAATCTGAAAACTCTTTGGCTCTTGTTTCCTGATGAACAGTTTTTGAACTGTCTGTAAAGCATAACTGCAAAAGGTTTGATCTATTCATCTTTTGGAATTGCAGGTAAATGGCTTGGTAATAGGCAAATCAGATGCAACTGGGCAACAAAAGGTGCTGGATCCAATGACGACAAGCAAATAAGTGACAACCAAAATGCAGTAGTACTTACCAATGGATCTTCAGGTAGTATGGACTCTTCAACTTAATGGGTTCCATTAAGTAGGACTCCCAGCAGATTGGGACATATTGTAATGCTCTGATGAAACTTGTGGATTCTTGACATAGGAATATAGATCTAGGAAACAAGAGTCATTAAATTTTTCTGCAAGCACTAAGCAGAGTCTGCAAACTTCAGTACTGACTGGTTTGGAATTGAAATTGGATCCTCTTGAACCACAAGAATCCAACTCATCTCTATGCCAGTATTTGGTGTGAAGTTCTGGACCTGACTGAAACCTGAACTTGCCTGTTTGATTTGTGCTAAAATAATATATGTCAAGCAAGACTCTTGACTAGGTCCTGAGGGAACTGCACTGATAGATTTTTCCCTTCTATCTGTGTTGCAGATGGTGGTCAGGAAAACACTGATGAAGATGCCCCCGAAAATAACCCTGCATACACTACTGTCTATGTGGGCAACCTTTCCCATGAGGTAATGAAAGGATGATGTTTCCTGGTTTTATCTTCATTAAATTTCTGATACTAAACATTGGTCTTTTTTTTTTTTTTTTCTTGACTTCAAATTTTTTAATGTCTAATTACATTGTTTGGTGTTATGTTTGTGTACTTGTGATTTTGTAGCTATCCTTTTGAAGTCGTGATTTTTTCCTTGACATGTTAGTTCATGTCTTTTTTCTTAGGTAACTGAAGGTGAGCTTCATTGTCAGTTTCATGCACTTGGAGCTGGAGTTATTGAGGAGGTGCGCGTACAGAGGGACAAAGGTTTTGGATTTATCAGATACAACACTCATGAAGAAGCAGCAACAGCCATTCAGATGGCCAATGGTAAGATACTTCGTGGAAAACCCTTGAAGGTAAGAGAATCCTTGCTTGCAGTTACTTCTGCTTTCTATGTCACTTATTTTATGAATTAGGAATCCCCTTTGCCAGATCCCTTCCTGCCCACCCCAAGGTTTGAACTTGAGACCTCCAACATGGATGCTCAAGCTTTTAACTCGGAGACATCCCTAAGGGACTGTTCTCATTTGACTAGGCCATATTTATGATCTCAGTAGCTTTTACATTAGATCTGAAAGTTCATGTCTATAATGCTATCAGGAAGTGGCATACTGTTCTCTTTTATGTTCTGAATGGTTCTCGTGTAGATATCAGAAGCGTGCATGTTTACATTTATTTGGGTAAATGCATGATGTTATCCATACATCTATTGTTGTAGTGCTCATGGGGTAGCAAGCCAACTCCTCCTGGGACAGCTTCAAATCCACTACCTCCTCCTGCTCAACCGTATCAGATCCTTCCAAGTGCTGGCATGAACCAGGGTTATTCCCCAGCTGAGTTATTAGCTTACCAACGCCAACTTGCTTTAAGCCAAGCTGCTGCATCTGGCCTTTCAGGCCAAGCTCTTTTGCAGATGACTGGCCAACACGGCCTGGCTGCTGCCTCAATGGGTTTGGGCTCCAGTGGTTCTCAGGCAATGTTTGATGGATATCCCAATTCTTCTTCAAGTCAGCAGCTCATGTATTACCGTTAATACCAGTGCAAGGTTGCAGCTGGAAGCCCCTATTGTTTTGCCTGTGTTATTCTATTTTTATTTTTGGTCATCTGAGTGAGATGCGAGTAACCTCTGACTTAATTTTGGTTCTTCTTTTCTTCCACCCTCTATGTTGTAACGTGTGACAAAGTGATTATAAATGAGCATATTGTGGGTGTTCTCTGCTCGGTTTTAATGGTTATCAAGATATTTTCGTGCATATTCTGTCTGGTGCTTCTATTTTTCTTCAACTAACTCATTTTGTAACTGCTTGATTCAACAAAATCTGATTTAGCAAATCCAATAAAGAAAACAAATATAATTACCATCTAAAGACATTCATTTTATGATGCCATAAATAGGGTGGTGGATAATGCATTTTCTGTCCTGTGTAGTTCTCTTCTAAGTTCTAACAGGACATGCTGGCACCCAAACAAAATATATATCCAGAAAGCAGATGACATTCAACAGAATTACAGAATACAATACAAGCACTAATCAACATGAGGAAAACGAAAAAGGAAAGTAAATATCGATCCAAGAGAACCTGCATTCGAACAATCAACAGTAAAGATATGGCAGGCCCCATGCATATATATTAGCTACGAAGGGAGACCGCATCAATACTCCCCAACTACTACAACTACAACGACTACATCCTTCAACAACACTTGTCCGGTACAATTGACACCAACATCCCCAAACCAGCAGTCTGAATAGTTGCCTTCTATTCAGAGAAGAAAGGGGAAAAAATACTGATAGATACAAACTTATAAGTAAATTCTTACTGCTGCTGTGTTTCATTTATATCCGCTTTCCTTTATCATCTGTCTTCTATTCTGGATCAGTCGATTGTCATTGGTTGAGTCATGCAACACCTGAAGCGGGCCTTCCGAACAGTTGTCATAACCTCTATTTCTGCATTCTCAAGCATATTCACAATCTCAGTGAATGGAGGACGGACTTCTGGGTTGGCATCCCAGCAACGAGTCATGATCTCACTTAGCACGGGTAAACAATCATTTGGGATCACAGGCCTTACACCCTTGTTCACCACAGCAAACGCTGCCTGCACAGCTGTCATGTTCTGGAAGGGAACCATACCGGTGATAAGCTCCCAAAGCACAATTCCAAAGCTATACACATCTACTTTTTGTGTATAGGGCCTGTGTTGAATCATCTCTCTACAAGAAAAGCAAAAACAAAACAACCACAAAGCATTACTAACATGAATTAAACAAAGAATCTAAATAGAGCATTTCAAACATTTATATGCCTAATAAACTCAGCAAAATAATGCACTCTAATCAAATTTGGAAAATCAGCAACACATTGAAGAGAAATGAAAAAGGGAATGACAAATCAATTGCCATCAGCCAAATAACTGAAAAAAAAAAAATTAGAAAGCAAGATAGCACATAAAAAGGGAATGATAAGATGAAACACCATTGTTCCGTTTCCATTTCTTTTAAGGAAGGAGAATCTAAACAACACAAGAATAGGAAGGGTTAGAATGGGACTTTATATTATGACGTAGTACGTTTCTATAACATGGACCAAGCACGTGTCAAAGCATATGGCGTAAGCATAACACATTTTCAGCATATCTAGTCTAGAAGCTAAATGTTAAAACTACTGACCTGGCACAAAATGTCTTTTGTGAATTAAATGCTTGCAAGAAAAGAGAAAGATAACACAAAAATTTTAGCATAAAATTAGAAACACTAAAAGCTTTAACAATTCTTTTGAACTAGATCCTGTATGGATTTTGTTTTAGCTTAAAACATGTACACTCGTCCCCCTTTCCTTTTTCCTCCTGTCAATTAATTTCTTTCTTTGTAGGGTTTTTCAGTTTTAGAGGAAGAAGGCTGGTTACAAAAATGGCCAGAATGACTCATGACAGGAGAAAAGTCCTTTGGTTGATTCAGATTTAATCACCCTCTACCACTCATACTCGAGTTACACTCATGACAGTATAAAATCCACCAAATTTCTAATGACAAAGAGGTAATGACAAAGATGATAAAAGATTAAAGTAAAATCTGGAAAGCAATGTCACAAATTCAAAACTATTGTTCCACCACTCATGATTTATCCCCATGGAAGCAAATAGTAGTAGTAAATAATAAATGCAGTGCCAAATCCATATTAATAATGTACCCAAACAATATGATTAAGCAGACTGCAATAACAATATAAGGCCTCTTACACAGCACAGGCTAACTAAAACTTTTCCTAAACTAGGACCAACCAAGTAAAGATAAGGGTTTTCTGTTGGGCCAAAAGAAATTGTAAAAGAAAAATACTTTATAAGGCCCCTTACAGCCAGCGCATAGAGTACGTGTAGTTTTGTCGTTGATTTTCTGCCCTAGCCCCAAACTGCAAAGGCAGTAGCACTAGGGGCAAAACTAATTGTAGATATTTCCAAAAACAAATAATAAAACAGAATTTTCAAGGTCATTTCATTGATTGTAGCTAGCATTTGTTACATAAGTTATGTTCATAATGCATTAGCCAGAATGTTACAGGTCAAATTATCAGATTTATGGGCCCACAATATCTCCCCATAACTTTCTCATAAAAGAGTGCAAAACTGTTGATTTCTAAAAGAAACTCCTTACGTACATAATCATAATAAATAAGTCTTTACTTAGTTTAACAAAGAGTAGCAGGGTGGAAATTATTGGAATGAGAGGCAAAATGTTTAGTAAAGGCTCTATCTTGAGATCAAAATCTACAGGAATGTTGACCTTTTCCCTCCTCACCTCTTTCTTTTCCTGAAAATGCACAAGCTATTTAGTCCCCATAAACCTTTTAGCCCCCATGCAAAAACACAAAATCATATTCACATGCCAAACATCAAACACCTGTCGATAACCTTCATGGCACAATAGCCAAATGCAGTGAGGCAGAGTCCATAGGACATCCGAATGCTTTTCAACCTGTTTGCCAATGTTGTCTTGGTAATGTACACTAGTCTTGTTTCCTGTGCATGTGAAAAGTAGATCACATTCAAGGCAATTGGCTCTCTTCTAAAAAACGACCATATTTACCCCTTGGACTAGATAATACCCATATCAAATGCCTGCCACTCCAACCACATGGAGGATAATATTATGTTGTAATAATAATTTGTGAACAACAAATAATCTCCGTACAAATTTCCAACTGTCCCTCTTTGCACAGCCAATGTAATCTCATCATCCATGGGAATAATCAAAGTCAAGACAAAGTATTATATCTGAATACAGAGAATCAACCACAAACTAAGAAATGAAAATCATATAACTTGACATATACGAATTTAAACTTGATAAGTTTCAATTTAAAGAAAGCAGTGACATCTGCACACCAGTCAAAACAAATAACATGAAAGCAGTCCAAACGAAAATAAATGAAAAAAAAAAAATCCTGCCATGGATTCCCATCTTTGGAAAAGCACCAGAAAGATATGTAAGCCAACTTTCAGAGATTCTCATTCTCCTCTCTCTCACTCTGCCACAAGACCCATAAAAAGCAAGCAGCCAAAGAAGTATAGCCAAATATATATACATCATCAAACATTTTAAAGCATATCCTAGGAAATTATTCATAGGAAAAATGGTGTTCCTAGCAACTAAGAATAACTTTGAAAGTTTTTCATTTTTCCCCTGTGATTATCATTTGTTATTTGTTAACATCCAATGGTTCATGCTAACATCAAAATAAAAATGAAAGGAGCTAAACAAAACATAGAAAAGAAGTAAAGCTACCATACAACATTATAGAAGAAAGAACTCTAACATATCAACAGTCTAAAGACTTACGGAGCCATCCAACGGTATGTCCCTGTCTCTGGTGTCATTCCCTCAGTCTGCACCTCAATACGGGCAACACCAAAATCTGCAATTTTTATTGACCTATCAGCAGCAATTAGAAGGTTATCTGACTTCAAATCCCTGTGAATAAACCCAAGAGCATGCACATATGCCATCCCTCTTGCAACATCCAGTGCCTGCTTAACTGCCAGCTTCAATGGTACTGCCCGATTCTGCCTTTTTGTCAGAAACTGCCGGACTGAGCCCCCCTTTGCATACTCAGTTACAATGCACCAGACCATTGGTTTTCGGCATCCCCCAATAAATCGCACAATATTTGGATGCTTCAGTGTTGCAAGCAT